CTGTTGTTAATCAAGGCGTGGTGTTTCTATTTAATAAAAACTCTGCCTCAGTTAGTCAGCCTGCTTACTGTATGCTTTAGGTCCGTCACTGCCAACACAGTTCTGAGCTGTGGCGCGAAAAAAGATAGCATTAAAAAGAAGGTAATTAATGTTTAGGGCAAGAACTATTTGCACTTGCCTGATTGGAAGAGGCAAAGGAGTTTCGTAAACCAGGGGAAGTGGAATTTGAATGGTTTCAGGGAAATGTGTATGTCTGAGGGTTCACCTGAGTGAGGGAGAGTCTTTGGAGCAGAGATGCCGAAACAAAGGCTTGCAAGACTGTTTGCTGGCAGGCTGGCAGATGTTAGCATCCATCTAACGTGGCATTGAACAATCCAGCAGGCTTTACCTTCCACTGAGAATAAAAGAAGCCAGTCTTATTTCATTCCTGATAATTAGTCATTTAAGACTGAGTTGTCTCTAGAGTACGACCTTTCTCATTAACAACTAATATTTTTGTCTGTCTCTCTTTTATGAATCTTTAGAAATCAAGCACTGATATTTCACAAGGCACTACATTTTAATGTAGCTTGAATTTTTTTCCTCTTCTAGAATTAATCACACTCAGTGGATGTACTGAAATCAGTCTGGCTTTGTCAAGGCCACTAAACCCACAGTATTAGCTCATGCCTTGTGTACACCCACAACACATGGTAGCAAGTTTTCATGACCAGTTTATTATGGACTAAGAAAATGCGTCAGGAGGGTCGAACACTTTGGAAATAGCCATTTTTTGAAAACAATTTTCTTGAGAGTGATGGTTTTTTGATGTGAAAAGGTTGTGTTGGCAGCCCAGTTTGTAAGGCAGTAACAATGGGAGGAGAGAGCTCTCAGACCAGACACGCCTGCGTTTTTTCTCATTGTCGTGGGTTAGGTTGAACCCCCACACACAGCCGGTCACTCCCCCTCCCTCACCCCCAGGAATGAGGGAGAGAATTAAAGGATAAACGGGAAACCCGTGGGTTGAGATAAGAACAATTTAATACAGATGATTTAATACACAGTGTAGGTGCTCACCACCCCCTCTTATCAGAAGCCCGTCTTGTCCCGAAGCTGCAAATCCCGGACGAACGGGAGACCCCGAAATAGAGAGGGGCAGAGAGAGAGAGATAGTACTCCGAGGGTGGGAGTACTGGGAGAGAGAGAAAAAGAAATAAAAACAATAGAGCAAAAGCGCAGCAAGCGCAAAAGAGCAGAAGCAGCGAAAGAGCCAAAGCGCAAAAGTCTTCCCGGCTGACCCTCACTTTTATACTGGGCATGACGCTGCATGATATGGAATACTAATTGGCCAGTTTGGCCCTCAGTCTTAAGTTCCACCACAAATCACAAGGGGAATCGTGGCCCCCTTGTCCCGGCTATGCTCCCCCCTTATCCTGCCGTGCTTCTGCACTCCGGCACACTGAAAAGTCCTTGGAGTTTCACGTCCAACCACAAACATCAACTTGCTATCAGCATTCTTCTCAGAGCGAGCCTCTGAGTAAAACCAAAACACAGAGCTCTTCTAGCTGCTAAAAAGAAGAGCTAACCCGGTCCCAGCTAAAACCAGGACACTCATCAAGGGAGAAGATATCTGAACTTTGTGAAGATGTTTATTGCATCATGTGACAATGAATGTTTTTAAGTGTGTATTTAGCTACATCTAGTAGGACTGCATGGGCTCTATAATTGTCTCAGGTAGTGTATACTTACAAAACCCAGATCTATGGAGCTGCACAGAAGAAAAAACGAAATACATTTGATCATGAATCTTGATTCCCAGTAAATTACATAGGGATAAATACATTTTAGGTTCACAAAGAATTTTTTATTATTTACTATCACAAATGGTGGATGGTAGTGTTTGCAGCTAAGGTGGCCATTAGCAGTCAGCAGCAGCTTGAAGTACACCTTCCAATACTGGAAAGTGTCCTGCCAGTGCAGTGCAAAGTGCTGGAGAAGTGCAAGTTCCTGGATGACCACCAAATTACCAGCTGGTTTCTAGTAGACAGGGGAAGCTTTGCTCCTTCTCTCCTTTCTCCACAGTCCCACTGCCCGTCTGTAGCTTTCTAGACTATAGTCCCAGCAACTGAGCCCTGCAGATAGCAGAATATAGAGACTTTTGTTTTGGGAGTTGACCTAAAACTGATGGTAATGACTCATTTCTAAACTCACCCAAACCTGGGGCGATAAGTAATTCACTTGCCAACAGCTGGCCCGTGTAAAGGTAATGATTATTCCCCACGAAAGTGGTTTTTTAACAAGCTTTGCTTTCATTCAGGGAAGGGTGAAATCACATTTTTAGGAATAAATTGTCAAGTGAAAAAAGGAAATGTTTTTCTCTGGCTTAATTTTTTTAATTATGTCAAATAATTCCCAGGAGTAAAATGAAAATGTTTGACTGCGACACATTAAAAAGTGGGAACATTTGAATCTGAGGGAAATGTGTTTATCAACAACATTTTAAGGCAAGAAGCTATCAAAACTGATGCACTTCTATGAAACACCTGGCTTCAAAGAAATTATGTTTTCTCAAGTATTGCCTGAGCATCAGCATCACTATTTCTGCCCTCCATCTTCTCTGCCTCTCCCTCTGCTCTTCATATTTTTAAATTAAAATGGCTTAGAAGCATCAACATGTAACACCCATGGCCCAAACACACCTGTAGGACAAGGGCCTGCCACAGACAAGGCTAAGAGGTCTGGTTTCCCAATCCCAAAAGCATTTAGGAGCTGAACTAGGCACAGTAGTGTTTGCCCTAGCTGGTGCAGAGGCGTCTCTGGCTACAGACCAGCAGAATTCCGGGCAGCTCAGGAGCTTTACTGAAAAAAATCTGAGACGCTAAGGCTACTAGGATTTAAACAGGTTTTGTGGACCATACAAATCAGACTTAGGTGCCTATACTGTGCACCCATGTTTCTGTGGACTTGGGCCTACTGTACGAGTGAAAGATCTGCCTGCATGGTAACCAATGCACTGAAAATGGCCAAATCATTCTAACGAAGGGTATATATCAGAGTCCTTGTGGGACAAAAAGAAACCTGCGTCCCACTGAATAGCACGACTGTGTAGAATAAATAAATCTGGCTGAAGCTTTGTCCTTTTTTTTGTTTGGAAAACAAGACTGTCAAACCCAGATTGGGAGCGTTTCTTAGGTGGTTTGCAGAGCTTCCTACAGGGGTCAGTGTTTTGGTCATGATGCAAACCATGGCAAGTAAATCAGTGGATGATGCAAAGGCTGATGGAGTGTAAAAAACAATGAGGAGGAGGCAATGGTGTAGCATGCAAAAGGTGGTTGGGATAGGGGTGAATGCAAGGTTGTGCCATTTAGGAGTGAAAAACACAAGGCATGCCTGCTGCATGGGACATAACCCCAGCAAGTGGTGCTTCTGGAAAGGATTTAGGGTTAGAATTGACAAAGAGTCCACATGGTTCGCTAGTGAGAAGATGTGGAGAAACAGGTGTTGGAGATACAGAGATGTGGGGAGAAGAAAGAGGAACGATCTTCATCCCTGTCTATAGCAAGGGTGGAAAAGGCTGAATGCCTAGACAACTGTTTAAAGAGCCACAAAACCAATTTTAGGTGAAAAAATGACTGATTGTGAAGGAATTCAGGAGTTCAGCCTGCAAGTTTTATTAAGAAGACAAGAGTTGTGGCTTAATTACACAACTTAAATATCATCATAAGACAAAAGTAGAGGTCTCTAAATACTCTTTAGTCTATCAGAGAAAGGTTTAACAAGTAATCCTAGCTGGAAACAAAAGCCAGATAAATTCTTATGAGAAATACAGCAAGCTCACTTGTCTGAGGGAGTGATTAGCAAACAAGCCATAAAGGGAATTGGTGGGCTCTACAGTTCTTTGATTCCTTAAAATCAAGGTCCTTCTGGAAGACAAGATTTACTCAGATAAATGTTATAGGACTCAATGAGCCAATAACAGTAAAACATAATGGTCTGTGTTATATACAATCACTTGTATTAAATGGTCTGATGGACCTTTCCAGCTTTGAAAGCCAATGAATTAACTACTTTCAGAGTCTCAAAGTGTCTTATTTAATTGTGCTTGGAGAGGAAGCCCAATGTCTTGGAGTTGTGGTCATTAGCATGGTCATCTCCTCCTGTACGTCTGTAGTTCCTGCTCTCTGCCTGTGTTCAAATGCAGAACAGGGTTTCTGACATTTGTCTTCCTCTTGCTGGCCTGCTGGCCACTTGCTCGAAAGCAAGTTATCTGTGGTAAGGGAGCAATTCTCTTCAGCTTTTGTGAAGTCCTGTTGTAATAACAGAAGAGATAAACACATCAGACATTGTATCAAAAGCAGCAGGCAACTCAGGAGCTTGCCAAGTTGCCCTTTGCACAAGAGAACAAGAATTGGCCCCCACTGATGCTGAAGTGCATTTATTATTTCGAGGAGTGAGGGGTTGTTAGCAGATGGGAACTGTGCCTGGTGCTTCTCATGTATTTGCTATGAGTCTGGCACCTGGCACTTGCGCTGTTCAGGAGTAGATGGATTAATTGAGAAATGACGGAGAAGGAGGAGAGAGCTCTGGAGGTGGGAACCATTGGCTTCATGGCAGTATCTTCCTTTTGCCAATCCCGTGTCAGCTCCTTCCTACCCTTACCCTTTCAAAGAGGAGACAAGCCTCCCTAGGGTCTTGAGGTTTTGAGGTGCTTGGTGGCATCCATTCATGCGACTTCAGCCTCCTGTGGCAGCAGCTCTCGGTGCCAAGGTGGTACGGGCAGGTCATCCTCAACTGCCCCCCTCAAAGAGGGGCTGTACCTACCTCCAGGATGCACTCCCACTGCAGTATGAATGTTCAGGCTGGTGTGGCTAGTTCATCTGCTTTTCTGCAACCTTAGTCCCAGTTTGAAAAAGGAACTTGCAGAACAACTACAGGAAGACAAAAGAGAGGGGAGGGATTCTGGTGATAGCCAACAGCTTCTAATGAGTGTCCTCCTTCTTCCTTTGCCCAGGCTTTATCAAGCTGTGAATGAGTTTGACACCATGACCGCTGAGGACTCCACTGCAAGGATGAGCAACGATTCCTCCAACATGGCTACCACGAAAGTCCCTGAAGGCGTTGCTGGTGCGCCCAACGAGGCAGCTCTGCTAGCCCTCATGGAGCGCACTGGATATAGCATGATCCAGGAGAACGGGCAACGCAAGTATGGTGGCCCTCCTCCCGGCTGGGAGGGTCTGCACCCTCCTCGTGGCTGCGAAGTCTTTGTGGGCAAAATCCCCCGCGACGTCTACGAAGATGAGCTCGTCCCCGTGTTCGAGTCCGTCGGCCGCATCTACGAAATGCGCCTGATGATGGACTTTGATGGGAAGAACCGCGGCTATGCCTTTGTGATGTACACGCAGAAGCACGAGGCGAAGCGTGCCGTCAGGGAGCTGAACAACTACGAAATCCGTCCCGGCAGGCTGCTGGGTGTGTGCTGCAGCGTGGATAACTGCCGGCTCTTCATCGGAGGCATTCCCAAGATGAAGAAGAGAGAGGAGATCCTGGAGGAGATTGCCAAGGTGACGGAAGGCGTGCTGGATGTCATTGTGTATGCCAGCGCCGCAGACAAGATGAAGAACAGAGGCTTCGCCTTCGTGGAGTATGAGAGCCATCGAGCAGCGGCAATGGCCAGGAGGAAACTGATGCCGGGAAGGATCCAGCTGTGGGGACACCAAATTGCTGTTGACTGGGCAGAACCAGAGATAGATGTGGACGAAGATGTCATGGAGACTGTTAAAATTCTCTATGTGAGGAACTTAATGATTGAGACCACAGAGGACACTATTAAAAAGGTCTTTGGGCAGTTTAACCCTGGCTGCGTAGAGAGGGTGAAAAAAATACGTGATTACGCCTTTGTGCACTTTACAACCAGGGAAGACGCTATTCACGCCATGAACAACCTTAATGGTGTCGAACTGGAAGGCTCGTGCCTGGAGGTTACCTTGGCCAAGCCGGTAGACAAGGAGCAATACACTCGCTACCAGAAAGCAGCAAAAGGAGGGGTTGCAGCAACCCCCGAAGTAACTCAGCAACCTAATTATGTTTACTCTTGTGATCCGTACGCACTAGCATATTATGGATATCCGTACAATGCCTTGATTGGGCCCAACAGAGATTACTTTGTGAAAGGTTAGTAAGCACAATTAGGGGATGTGAGGGGCAGATTTGGTCTCAGGCTGCTGCAACCCAAGCTCTGCGTGAGCCAAAAGACATCTGGTGCTGTGCACTTTTTTTCTTAAACACTCTTTTATAGGTTTTTTTTTCCATATTTTTTTTTTCGTCTCATTTTAATTTAGGACTACCCAGAGTGTATTTATCTTGAAATGATTGCTAATGTATGGGATAGTGTGAGGGAGGCATCAAATATAGTTAAGAATAAGATTACAGATCAAGCATGGGATGGGGATGAGAGGGATCTGGATTTTACAGTACTTTTGCAGTTCTAAGTCTGAAAAAGTCCAAGGACTTCGGTTTTTGTTGCCTCCTTCCAAAGAGCTGGATCCTAAAAATTAGAGATCAAGACAAAGAGTGCTCCCTTTGCCTTCTCCTGGAGGTGTGGGTATGGTGACGTGGTCATCCAAAGGGAGAGATGTCAGGGAAAACTCCCGTTGGGAACTCTCCAGGTACCATTTGCCCTCTGCATTAAAATGACAGTAGTGCTGTGTCCTTTATAAAGTCAGTTAAGAACTACGAGCAGAAGAAATCACATGAGTGCAAAATAACTCTTTTGTTATGTAGACTTTAATTAGTTATCAGTTACAGTCATTAAAAATTAACCAAAAATCAGTTATTCATAAAAAACCATAGCAGCTATAATTAGTGTTATAATTACAATTATCCTATACTTAGAGGTATTACAGTTTCCTGAAATGCGTATTTCCATATAACAGTAGTTTAGCATGAATATATTCATAAAGCGCCCACATAAACCAAGAAATATTTTTAACCTGAGTTGACCAAGAATTTCAGCTTCTTCCCGATTTCCAGATTTGTACTTGCAATGAACTATAAAGGAGTTCACTGACAGTCTAAATGTTCAGTTAGAGCATTGTAGATTGCATTAATACTGCAGCGTTCAAAGTACTGTTGTAACATGTGTGGAGTCGCTAAGATAAATAAATAAAGGCAATATTTTGGGAGAAGGGGTATATTCACATTACTAATAAAATAGCAGAGAAAACAAACAACACGGGTATAAATATACGCAATGGTGGGACAAAGTTGGTTAAAGGCCATGTACAACTTTGGGTCACCTCTGCAGAGTCCCATTGTGGCAGCTGAGAGGCAGGGTCTCCTCTGGAGGAGAGCTGAGAGCAGAAGCAGGCAGCTGTTCCTGCTGCATGGCAATGGCCTCTGGAAGAAGCCCCTCTCTCTCTGCTGGGTGCAGTAGACCCACAACACTGGCTGTGAGAGTTGCATCATTATAAATAAGCAGTTAATGTATAGTCAGAAACTTCAAGGGCAAAATTGAGTCATCTCAATGGGTGCTTCTAAGGCTTCTGTTTTCATAAGCAAAGTCACTAAGACTCCGATCCAACTGCCTTCAGCAGCCGCGTTTCTAAGCATGTGCCTCCTGGTCTCAGCCTGGGGCCGTTCGTGCTCCTCATGGGGCTGTCGCTCTCCATTATTCACCATCCTCTTCTGTGTTGTTACCATAAGCAGGCAGCATACGAGGCAGAGGGCGAGGTGCAGCTGGCAACAGAGCCCCAGGCCCCAGGGGCTCCTACCTGGGGGGATACTCCGCCGGCCGTGGCATCTACAGCAGGTACCATGAAGGCAAAGGAAAACAGCAGGAGAAAGGATACGAGCTGGTACCCAACTTGGAGTTACCTGCGGTCAATCCAGTGGCCATTAAGCCTGGTGCAGGTCAGTATGTGCGATGAGGGCAGGAACGCAGGGGTGGCGGGCAAGCCCCCACGTTGAGCTCTGTGTCAGGGACACGGGGACATCTCCAGCCCATGCAGTGGAGGCAGCAGAGACAGCCCTGGGCTGGGGCTCAGAGCTCTCCTGTGCCAGATGCCTCCTCCTTGCAAACAAGAGACACACAGCGGGGCAGGGGAACACAAACACCTGGGGCACTTCAGACCAAGAGAAAAGGGGCTGAAGCTGTGGCTACACCTCCTGTCCCCTTTTGCGCCTCCTCGGGAGAAAGTAGACTCTTCTTTCTGTCTAGTCATGTATGCTAGATCATGGTGACTAAGAGCAATCTTCCTCTCTTTTGATTTCTTCACTGCTAATTTCACCCTGGGCGATTCCCATCCAGGATTTCCATCCAGGCCAGAGCTCTGTCCTGCTCAGTTCATATTTCTCCAATGGTATGAGGCTGGGAAAAGGATCTGGGGCTTTCCCCTTGCAAGGAAGTCCCTGGCTGAGGTGAGCTCCTCCGTCACCATCAGCAATGTGAGGAAGGAGGGACACAGGTAGCCTTGGAGTCCCCGGCTCTGCTGGGCTGTGGGGAGCCAGCCCAAGGGCTGGGGCAGGGATCACCCCTTTCTGCCACATCCTCTGCTGAGGCAGAAGTGGCCCTTGCCCTTCCCAGGTGAACAGAATGAAGGCTGAAGCCCTGCAATTCCTCAAGATCCTGTTTGGAGAGATTTTTATATAGAAAAGCAGCCCGAGGAAGAAGATCTTTGCAGGAGATGGGGCCACGTCTTCTTGGAGAAGTCCTCAGGTCTTCTCGCCATTCTCTCCATGTAAATTGTAACTGGAGGACCTAAGCAGTGTTTAATAACAGAGCTGCAGTAGTTTCCCAAAACATGCTCCATACTGTCAGTGAAAAACTACAACTTGCATCTAATGAAGGCTGTGAAGCATTCTTCATAACAGCTGGATGAGACAATGTGATTAGAGGTCTACAGACAAAGGAAGGCTGTTAAGATTAGAGCTGTTTCCAAAGGAAGATCAGACTTCCTGAGAAAACCACACAGTCACAATCAGAAAATATTACCGTAAAGATACCTCAGGGATTCCAGGTATTACTAAAGGGTGCTTGAAAAGTGGGCGTTGAAATGCACACTTATTATTGGTGCCTGTGATTCATTCGACTGCCAAACAAAAGCCTGAAGCTCAAGTCTAAACGTCTTTATGCTTGAATTATGCTGAGATTCAGAGTTCTTTATCAGGTCTTCCCCTCATGTATGGTTCCAGCACAGCCTCTGAGCACAGAAGCACTCAGTCTGTTTTCCCCAGCCAGGTCAGATGATCTAATAAGAGGTACCACATGCAAGACTCACCTGTTATTAAAAGGCTATGACTCTGAAAGCACGTTACAAGAATGAAGTGTACATACTCTGCAGTTTCCCTCCATTTAGAACAACCTTAAAGCTCATTTCTTTGCAAATGATTAGAAAACTCCTGAGAGGTCACCCCAATACCCCAGCTGCCTACTACTGCTTTTCTGCCAGAAGTTACTGCAGAATGGAGCACATGAGCTCTTCGCCTTTGTGTCAGCGAGAAAAATTATCCAGATTATTTAAACTAGTGATAAAACTGGTTTGAACTGATCGGATGGACTTGGTGTAGAAGGAGAACTGGGAAAGCTCATGAGTGGAGATCTCTGCTTGAGGAAACAGTGGCAGACCGCTGGCAGTGGAAACATCTGTCTGAAAGATGTCTGATCAGATCCCTTGTTGCAGTCTCCAGGATCAAAACGAGACAACTGCTTGCTGGCACCTGTGCTCTCCACAGGCAGAATTGCATACTTCCACATTGCAAAGTTTCATCCCAGTGAAAGAAATTCATGTATGTATTTGGCCTCATTTCTGATTTACTGGCTGCACCTCCCATAGATGCCAACATCATCACCATCATTTACCGATTACTCTGTTTTCCTTGTGAATAATGTTACTGCTGAAAGGCTCAAGAGCTGAATGCTGAAGTGCATAAGACAACGATGGAAATCATAGCATCACAGAAAGGTTTCAGCTGGAAGGGATCTTTAAAGATCAACTAGTCCAAATCTCTACCATGGGCAGGGACATCTTTCACTAGGTCAGGTTGCTCAAGCTTCCATCCACAGTGTCCTTGAACACGTTCAATGATGGGACATCCACAATTTCTCAGAGCAACCTGTTCCAGTGTCTCACTATCCTCATCGTAAAGAATGTCTTCCTTATATCCAGTCTAAATCTGCCCTCTTTCAGTTTAAAGCTGTTACTCCTAGGTCCTGTTACTACAAGCCTTGGTAAAAAGTCTGTTCCCATCTTTCTTATAAGTCCCGTGTAAGAATTGAAAGGCTGCAATAAGGTGTCCCTGGAGCCTTTCTTCTCCAGGCTTAACGATCCCAACTCTTTCAGCCTGTGTGCACAGGAGATGTGCTTCAGCCCCCTGATCATCTTTGCGGCCCTCCTCTGGACCCGCTCTAGCAGCTCCATGTCTTTCTTTACTTGAGACCCCAGAGCTGGAAGCAGTATCCAGGTGGGATCTCACAAGAATGGAGTAGAATGCGAGAGTCACCTCCCTCAACCTGCTAGCCACACTTCTTTTGATGCAGCCCAGGGTACAACTGGCTTTCTGGGCTGCAAATGCACATTGCCAGCTCGTTTCCAATTATTGTGACTATTTGGAATGTTCAGCAAAGCACTTTTCTTCCCTAAGTGCCATGAAGCTCTATTTTGGACCACATACAAACTCACCATCTCTGAACACGGTCATTGTGACCAGAGCATTTTCCCTTCCTTTGGATGACTGTATCTCTAATTATTTTGCGTTCCAATTTTGGCACGAGGGATAATTCTATAAAGAGCAATTTCCTTTTTAGTGTCATTAAACAGATTGATCCTGTAGCAGAAAGATAGGATAAGACATATTTAGCCAAGTTAGTTCTGGGAAATGCGTAATAGTAAATGAGCTGATAATTCGCAGCGTTGGCCAAAGGACAGTATACAGACTGGACCAGCTGCTGCCTGCAACTTCTGCAGTGCAAACCACAATTTTCTGTTCCAGGGCTGCTCTGCCTATGGCAGCTACACATCCTTTGACCTCAGTGCTGGAGCAGGGACCCCACCAGAGCAGTACACACTCCCACCCATCCCTATGCTCAGGCTGCGCACTTGGCTGGGGAGAGAACAGTGGTGGTCAGGAGGGGTTGCGTAAATCCAGGACACCGCTCCCAGTCCTCAGCAGGTCTCTGGCCCTGGGATGCCCATGAGGGCAGAGGTGCCCCCAGTCCCCCACTGGCACATGGAGCTGCCTGCCCTGATGAGAGCAGTGCAGCGCTGCTGCGGGAGAGCCATCACAGCCAGGAGGGAGGGCTGCTTGGTTTTTGAGATGAGGTCCTGGAGACCCTCTCTTAATGCATCTGATGTGTCTGGTCTCTCCTAGTGGCCATCCCTGCCATCGGGGCCCAGTACTCCATGTTTCAGGCCGCGCCACCAGCCAAGATAATGGAAGATGGCAAAATCCACACTGTCGAGCACATCATCAACCCAATAGCCGTCCAGCAGGACCCAGCCAGCGCGGCAGCTGCACCGCGGCCGCAGCTGTAATACCAGCTGTCTCAACACCTCCTCCCTTCCAGGTGAGTTCAGCACGTTAAGTCCTGCTTCCTGTATATCCTGCTGCCCATACATCCTGCTTCCCATATGTCCCACTCTGCACACCCAGGGTAGGGGGAAAGCCTGGCCTCTTGCTCTGCTCCTGTTCAGGAGATGCTGTTGAGGATGTCACGGTGCCCAACAGACCTGCAGCTCAACTGACCTATCTTAGACATCTGCACTTTGGACAGGTGGTCTCCGTCTATGGAGGACCCAAATCTGGGAGGGAGGGAACAGCCCCTTATGATGGCTTAGCTCTCATTCAACAGGGCACGCGCTGCCTACCCTCCCGTTATCACCTCCCCTGCTCGGGGGTCTGCAAATCGGGATGGAAATGGGAAATTACATTGATTTAAGCTCTTTGTTGAAGTCTGCACCCGATGCTTTCCTTCCAGGGCCGCCCCATCACGCCAGTGTACACCATGGCTCCCAACGTGCAGCGGATCCCCGCCGCCGGCATTTATGGGACAAGTTATGTGGCCGTCGCAGCCCCTGCCGCGG